CATATATCACACGTATCATTACATGCAATAAAACAAGTGTGAGCATCAGTATTAGTTCTATCACCACCATCACCACCACCACCACCACCACCACCACCATCACCATCACCACCATCACCACCACCACCATCACCACCACCACCATCACTGTGTCTTTCTATCTCGTCACCACCCCCACAACCACCACCACCACCACCACCATCACCATCATCAACACCGTGTCTTTCTATCCCACCCCCCCCCCCCCCCACCAGGTGGCGCACGTTGATGCTGCCGTCAAGTACAGCACGTCTGCTGTCGATGTCTGCTGCTGCTTCACGCAGGTTGGTTTGGGTTCGAAACTACAGCATAAAATTTTGTCCTTCCGTTGAATTCAAAATTACGGTATTAAACGTCCTCTCAATGGGCTAGAAATTATAGTATGTGTCCTGTCATTGGATTAGAAATTACAGTATTTGTCCTTTCACTTGATTAGACCTTACAGTATTTGCCCTTTCACTTGATTAGACCTTACAGTATTTGCCCTTTCACTTGATTAGACATTACAGTAGCCTATTTGCCCTTCGATTTGGATTAGAAATTGCAGTAGATCTATTTGTCCTTTCATTTGATTAGACATTACAGTATTTGTCCTTTCACTTGATTAGACATTACAGTATTTGTCCTTTCACTTGATTAGACATTACAGTATTTGTCCTTTCACTTGATTAGACATTACAGTATTTGTCCTTTCACTTGATTAGACATTACAGTATTTGTCCTTTCATTTGATTAGAAATTATAGTATTTGTCTTTTCACTTGATTAGACATCACAGTATTTGCCCTTCGATTTGGACTAGAAATTGTAGTAGATCTATGTGTCTTTCATTTGATTAGACATTACAGTATTTGTCCTTTCATGGGACATGAAATTAGAGTATTTGTCCTTTCATTGGATTAAAAATTACAGTATTTTTCTATTCATTTGATTAGAAATAACGCTGAGCCTGAATAATTAGTTAAATATATTTTAATATGAAGTGACGCGACCCAAGACAGCCTCTTTTCTCCTGGACAATGGGCGGGTGACCATCTTGGACAATTTCAACTGCATTTTGTTGCTGTTTTGTTGTTGTTGTTGTTGTTGTTGTTATTGTCGTTGTTGTTGTTGTCGTCATTGTTGTTGTTGTCGTCATTGTTGTTGTTGTTGTTGTTGTTGTTGTTGTTGTTGTTGTTGTTGTTGTTGTTGCTGATGTTGTCCGTGTAGTTATCTATTCTTCTCGTTTGATGACACTCCCTCTTGTCTCGCCCTCCGTCCATCCACAGATCACAGAGTTCTGGAAACAGCTGGCGTGGCCGGATCGGGTGGGAGCCTACCCGTTTGTCTACAAACTCACAGAGGTCAGTTACATTGACACAGTTGTTCTAGTGATTCTTGTCATCTGATGTCATGATTAATTGAGTAATTGACTACACATCCCCGTGAGGATGTGAGGATGTGTAGATTTATCGTTCTTGCCTTGTGCACTTTCACAGGCAGGTCAAACATTGTCAGTGTGCGACACCCCTCTTTTTTTAAATTTTTATTTAAGACATCTTGCAGTTAATGGAGAGTGAACTAACAGGGGAATTGTGAATTCCAATGTCCTAGGAGATCGTTTTTGGACCCAGGTTTGGCTGCAGAATATTGACATTTCAATTTATTTTTAATTGTATACGGGGGGGGGGGGGTACCCGTTTGTCTACAAACTCTCAGAGGTCAGTTCTTCCAACACAATTGTTCTAGTGATATTGTATACCGGAATTGATTTATTTTTGCGCATGCTGCTTGAATTCATGGTTTAATATTGGCGGGTTGCTGTTGTTGAGGGTTTTTTTAATCCTCGAATTCTTATCGTTTTCGAAATATTAAAAGGAGCAGAACTGATAGATGGAATGAAAATACACACGTGACACTGGGAGACTTAAATTACTTGTTCAAAACGTTCACGAAAAATTGATATGGACAAAACGAGGGGGGGGGGGGTTTAAGGGCACGTGAAAAGAAAACCTGGTGTACAGCATTTTATGATACCGGGAGAACAAGTTTATGCTTTCGTTTTTCACGTCTTGGCGTAATGTAATTGGCAAGAGGTGGGGGGGGGGAGGGTACATTACATGTAGGTTGCGAGTTTGTTAGAGGGCACTTCTAGTAGGTCCTACTTCTTTACTTTCCCTCTGATGTTTCTGTCTGCTTGTCTTACTTTTTCCAAGTACTAAATGAGCATTATTGTGTCGATGTGCTTCTCTTTATTCAAACATGCAGTTTGTGTTTTAAAT